CATTTTTCTAGCTTCCTTTGAAAGTCTGAATTTCTGAGAATCATAACGGGAGGTATACGTCGCGTGTAGGACCTAGGGGAAATTGTTTCAGCCCTGGGTCACCGAATAATCGCAGCATTTTTTAGCGAGGAAGCTCCTGCGATCTTTAACCTTTTTTACTAATCGTCAATTTTACGAATTGGCAGTTCTGAAGATTTTGATATAACTTGCTTTCGTTGCAATAGCTTGCATTTGATCACAGTGTTTTCTGGTTTGTTTTTCAAGTGAAAAACTGGCGTTTGCTCAAGTGACGTATATGAAATGTCCTGCTATATAACAATGCATCAACACATACTATTAAACTTAGATGCTCAGAGGTGTTTTCGTCTTTGTAATTAACAAGTTACAGACGTATTTATTTCTTACGAGTGTAATATTTATTTTTTGTAGCTGGGCCCGTTTTGTGCACCTTAATGTCAGTGTGCTATGTCGTTATCATCATGTGTGTATGGTTCTAAATATCCTCTTTACAATGCCTACAAAGGCCAAAATGACGTCAGCCGACCCCAACTCACGCATTGGACACGAAAACTGCGTCGCTCGGATGTATGCGCTCGTCAGCAGTCAATTCGTCCATAGATATTTCAATTCGCGTTCCTAGCCAAAGAATGTCCTGACAAAGCTTATCATCACTTGCGAATGCCAAGTTCTACGGTGTGCTTAAAAAGCACGGTGAAAGCTTGGGGTCATCGCACCGGTGCCCTAGCATGTCACGACTGCGTGATTTCACAGTTCTCTTTTGAGTTGAGGATTACACGTAAGGAAGAAGAAGTTTAAAAATAATTTCGGGGCCCCTTTAACACGGATATGTGTACTACACCAGATAAAAATATTGACTTTTTGAATGCCGGTAAACTTTCAAACGACCATTTGGCCTGTCGGCAAGAACACCTCATATCCGGCGTCCGTCTCTTTTGATGGCGTCAACAATTTTCTAGAGACCACCATGCCGTCCTTCTTGGTTGAACCCCGTCGACGTCGTTCCTCACGAGTCGGTGAGAAAGTCTCATCTTGAAGGGATGATCGGGTCTTGAAGAAGTATGATGCTAAACATATACTCGCTCACTATGGGGCAGTCGAGCAACAATCACATCCCGAGGCAATCGTCCTGTCGTGGCCAGCGTAATCGGATTTTGTTCCATCGGAGTGAAGTCCGAAAGTACTAGGACGGTACGTTCGTCCCACGAAGCGACCGCCATCCCGGCGGCGCCGAAAACCACTCGCCTTGTCCGTGCACGCACGATACCATAGCAGCTCTCGTCGACCGACAGTCCCCGGGCTGCAAATCGTCTCACTTTTCAGAAAAAACAGGCACCGTTCCTCCAGAGGTTCGTGCCGTACCGCGATGCCAAGCGCCTTATACCACTTTTCAATAAACGAATGGAGATATCAAACAAAGGTTGCCGCCCGGCGTCGCTGGAAGCACGGTTACCATGGCAACCTCCCAGGCCCAAAATGGAGATCACTATCAGTGCTTCGGACGTCGTGCATCTAGATAATTTTGCGTCGTGTAGCTACTCTGGCAGCTACGCTGCCATATAGACCTTTTCCGCGTAGTCGTCGCCATCTTGCGTGTTGCAGTGACAGCCGCGCCGTCTGGCGTACGGTTGTTGTGCGCCCATTTTGGTATGCGGAGAGCAGCGTTGTTCCTAGCTCCCGCGTTGTTCTCATTGACCCCGTGCATCGTATCTTCATTGTTTTCCCTTTAGTGAGTTCTTAATTTGTTTGTTATTGAAAGTGTGAATTATTCTTGTGTTCTAGCGTGTTTATTCGCCTTCATGGCGCCCGTTGTTGCGTCAACAGCGCCGAAAGGTTCGTCGCCAGCGTCGCCGGTAATCGAAATCGGAGGCATGTTCACCTTTCCTGAGGACGTTCACCAGTGTTTACTCTTCGCGTGTTGTCGTTTGTGAAGAATGACAGCCTTCTGCGAATGACTAACGGAGGGTTTCTATGCGCGAGCGAGGGCGACCCTGGGCATAGAAGTATCATCGTTTAATCGTAGAAATACTCACAATGGGAGTTGGCGACGCGGGCCGAACGGTTTATTGTTATGGTGCACCGTCGAGGTACGATCGCTAGTTACCGGGACATCTCTACTTCTTATGACGCCTGGATGCGTCGGAACTATTCAGGAGATGGGGGTGAAGGGGGGGGGGGGGGGGGGAGGGGGAGGGGGGAGGGCGACGACGATTTTGCGCCCTCTTTTCGCATTGTTTCCATTAACGTATTTTAACGGGCGTCGCTACCGAGCAACACACAAAATTATAGTGCACATCCTCGTAGGAATGAACGGAATGAAAAACAATTCATAGCCAATAACAATCATTACACCCGGGGTCTTACATTTGCACCACAAGCTGCAAAATTCGTTCTACATTTGTCTTGTCGAGGCCTATTACTGCACTTGTAGATGTCCGTTTCTATACTGCCTATTTGCTTTTTTTATGTGCTGATATTGCATCGCTTCCCCGCTGATATCAGCGGGGAAGCGATGCAAAGTGTTTACGTTACAGCCGCATTTGCTTTGCGACTCCTTGTGTTCGGTGCACAATTTGTCGCGCGCTATCTTCCGTTTTCGGAAATTGCTGCTGCTGCCAACGACTGCGCAGTGGCAGCCCGATGACCAAATATGCGCGGACATGATACATCGACGTATTAACCCACCTTATTACAACTCCCTTCGCTGTCAAGGGCTTCAAAACCCATTTAACGCGCACCACTTCAGCATCTTGCCAGCCGGCTAGGCCTGCTCCCGCATACCGGAAGTGTTAGAACCGGAAGAACTATAGGCTCCTTGCACAGGACGTCATTTCCGTTGCCCTCCAAAGAAGAGGGGAAGAAGGAGCTCCCCTCTTATCAGGACCCTCCTTTGTGCCTCCCGGATTTGTACAGGCGTCGCTATTCTCCCCCCAGAAGATTATAGAAGATTAACCTGTCGCTCAAAATTCTTACAAAAGCAGCTTCCCTCTCCTCCTCTTTCTTACTTGGTGTTCGAAAGTGTGCGATGTGACGTCAGCGCCGAGTGGCCGAGTCGCCGAGTCGAGGCTACGCACGTTACGCGCTGGGTCGAGGTTAGACGGAAAAGGTCTATAGAGTGGCTCTAGGCCGAACGGGTATGGCCGGATCCGGATGAGACTTTCCTCCTTTCACCATATTGTTCGCGCGGCGCCCGATAGCATGTGGTCACGCGGTCGAGAGCGGATGAGTTCTCGCTCCTCGGCTGCGTATTTTCGGCACCAATTTGAAGTGCAGGGGGCGCGGCCAATGACGTCACAGACGTCCAATATATATTTGGTGTTCTTTGACATAAACGCGTTTTATTTTGGATGCCGCCGACTGCATTTTGAAACGTCGGTTGGTCGGCGAGTGTGTGCGCGTGGACGGGTGCTTGGCGGCACGGCGGTGTACTCGCTGGTGTGTGTCGACGTGCCGTCTGTGCTCGTCGCGTATCAATTGCCGACACCCAGAAACAGTGTTTTCCATTTTCGCTCGCCCCGGGCCGTCGGTCACTTCTGTTGCAAACGAAGATTCCAAGTGACTACAGTACCGTGACCGTCCGACGGCACTTTTGCAGAGCGTTCAAGTGACGTCCGACGATACTCCACCGACGGTACATACTTCGCGTTAAAAGTCCCGTATAAAATGGATTGTCAAAACGGCTTTTTGGAACGTGTAGCGTAGCTTAGTAGTTAGGACGTCTGCTTCCTACGTAAGCGGTGGTGGGTTCGATCCACGGTGGCGGTACAGCTTCTTTTTTTTTTTTCAAACATTTTGTTTTGTTGGGGCATTTGGCGATATTTGCATTTCCTTTTTTACGATTAACACTGAAAAGAAAAAAATGTTGTCGACGGCAGTGCTACAAACGCGAGCTATTCGCGACTCCAGCTAGTTGCTCGCCCTCTAGCGGCGGAAGCGCGAACGGCTGTAGTGAGGGTCACCAGGAAGCTGCAATGGCGGAATCCAGCGACGCTCCCGATCGTCCGTCGCAAACGCCGTCCTCAAAGTGCAAACGGCACTGTTCGGTGCCCCAGTGCACCGCTTCTGCATGGAAAGATAGCAGCCTATCACTTCATCGATTTCCAAACGCGACAGAAACGTGTCGCCGGGGCCCAGACGCTGTGAACAGACGGGCGGAATGGACGCGCCTCCTTCGTATTGGAAAGGCTGTCACGGAGACAATGACGGTCTGCTCACGACACTTCACGTCGAGTGATTACTTCCTTCCAGGTAAGTGTGCCGACCTGCGGTACTTTATAGCCACCGCCGTCATGAGGTTCGAAAAATTAGCGATGAGCACAATGACAGACAAGTGATGGGGTTCAATGCTCCAGCTCATTTATTCGGTATCTCGAGCGCGCGGTAAACCAGCTGGCGCTGAAACACATCTCTGCTCCACTTACATGCCGTATTAGTACGCTTGAAGGACGGGTAACTCATCTGCGTTCCGAGCGACAGGAAAGACATAACACCGGGACCACGGTGACACACGCTTGCTTGACGAAGCTGCTCCTTGCGCTATCTGATGTCATGTCGTTCGTGCCGTTTCTGTCGCTCGGAACGCAGATGCGTGAACCGAACTTTAACGTCCTTATGATTGAAAGCTATTTCCGTGCTTTCTATCATTTGGGCAGGGGTACCAGATCTGTTGTGAACACTTCGAGCTGGATCATCGCCGCTGTAGGGAATGGACGATTTGCGCGACTTCATAGCGTGTGAATGAAAACCGAGCGCGCCTTCATGCAAAATGAACCGCAGCATGTGTTTATGGCATCAGTGGCACTCACCGAACGAAGAATAAATCAAACAAAATAACCCGGAGACTGCCGGTAAGAAAAAGACACGTACACAAAAAAGTTCCAGACACAGGTGATTTTTATTTTGCATACAAAGTGCTTTAATAGGAACCAAACAAGATAAAACATAAAACTGACTCTGAAACTGAGCAGTCAATCTGTTCAGCTGTTTAGTAGCTCTGTCACCAATATGTTGTACTTTGCTATTTATTTCCCCCAGAACATGGAAGTCAAAGGCGTCGCCTGAAGAAAGGAACAGTGCCCTCCGAAAACCTGCCTACCCTCTCCACTGAGAATGTAGAGAGAAAAAAGAGAGCGAGGGAACTGGATGTGGACCGCCAGAAGCGTCGCATGAGGAGGGAAGCTGGGAAGCCTCTCTTGGCCAAGGTAAATGCACTTTGGATACTGCCTTTGCATGCCTGCCTCACCCCAAATCTTTTTTTCTTTTTTTTCAGTTTGATCAATTTGCAGTTTTGTATAAAAAGAATGGTGTCTTTTTTGTCTCATGCTCATATCCCATATATACCAAGTCTTCAACAGTTCCCAAACGATGACTATCACAGGGGGGTCGGTGGCTGAGTGGGCCAAGCACACAACAGCTCGGAGCACGCGGAGCGAAAGCTCTCGCTGCAGCGCCGAGCGATCCTGGTACCCCTGCCCATTTCAATCTGGATGAGCATCGTGCTTGGATACAGTCAAGTACAACTACTGCGTGGAGCACATCAAAGACCCCAGGCTAGCAGTCGTACTGCACTGGTTATATTTCTCATCTACAGTGTAAACCAATATTGCCATAAGCTGGCAGACAAACTTTGCGCTGTCTAATAATGAACATAATTTTTTGGCTGTCACGGACCTGCTACATTTACGCTAATGCGACTGTAGCATATGAATGGAAAGGAGGCGACTATGATTGGGTAGAACAGAGGTAGCCAGGAGGACTGGGTGTGTGTAACGGGTTGAAGCGAGACTCAAAGTGCTGCGGTCACGTCCATGTGAAAAAGGCACATGGCGGAAAATTGCACACTGAAAAAGGTACACCAAGAAAGGGGCCACACATACCATGCATTTGCAACTGCCTAGATTGTTTTATGTACTTGGCACGAACTGGACAGACTCACTTCACCATCAGTGCAAAAGGTTGTGTTGCACGCTAGACTCCAAGGGGCTCACATCAGGGCCAATTGAAAAGAGTCAGAAGTCCAGTTTAACATTGATCATGTTTCACGTCCGATTTGATGTGGAATAATATAGGGCACTACTTTTCTTTATGAACTTTATTCTAGGTTGCGCTCTGCGAGGCCCAAGACTCCCATCAGCAGGATGACGGGGCACAGCCTCCTGAAGGTGAAGATGCAGCGCTGCCACCTGCAGTGCCATTGCGGAGGCCTCTCCAAGCCACAGTAGTTCTTGACGAAGGCGTGCAAGTGTGTAGTGGCGACTTTGGGGAGAACTTTTCCCGCATGATTAATCAGGGGAATGTATGTTCCTTTACGGGCATTCCCAACATGGAGCTTCTCCATGTTCTGGAGAAACTCGTGTCTGGAAAGATGCTAAGATCAGCAAGAGCTACACTGCCAGCAAAGGATCGAGTAATCATGACCATGATGGCTTTGAAGCATGCTCTGACATTTGACTTCCTGTCACACATCTACGGGGTGTCTCCATCAACAGCAAGCACCACTGTTAGAAGCATTGCAAAACTCCTTGCTGTATTTCTACAAAATGCGATAACCTGGCCCTCAAAGGATGAAGTGCTGCACAACCTGCCGGCATGCTTCCAGAAATTCTCCCACGTCCGCATTGTGCTGGACTGCACAAAGATTCCTGTAGGAACGCCGAAATGCCTTAAGTGTCGTATCTGTACGTACTCTCACTACAAGAAAGGCCACACTGTGAAGTATCTGGTGGGGGTTTCGCCCGGTGGCTTGGTTACCTACATTAGTAGCGGCTACGGCGGTCGAGCCTCGGACAAGGCTATCTTTGACCAAAGTGGTTTAGTAGATAAGCTCTTGCCGGGAATAGACCACATAATGGTGGATAAGGGGTTTCTCATTGACAGCACATGCGAAACAAGGCTAATAGCTGTGGTGAGGCCCCCATTCCTACATGCCAAGAAGCAGCTGTCGAAGGCCGAAGCTCTTGCCACTAAACACATAGCTGCGGCAAGGGTTCACGTTGAAAGGGTGATACAAAGGATCAAGCTGTTAAAGATTACGTCACAAAAGATGCCTTGGAATTTGGTACCGATTGCTGATGATGTGCTGATCATTGCATGTGGCTTGGCCAACTTGTCCGCACCGGTTCTGGCAGACGACAAGTTTTTGTAAACTATCTGGGAGCGAAAACTTTTGTTGGTACTTTTTTGTTTGTAGTTATAATGCATTTTTTGGGGTGTCTGCTGCGTTACCTATGTCGTTGTCATCAGTGCATTATAGGTGGTACCCTGCTCTTGCGTTGGCCTGTGTCACCACGAGGTGGTTTTTGCAAACTTAAGCATTGTACATATCGCCGAAGACTGAGGTCTTTCGATTTTTTACATTCTTTCATTTTTGTGTTGCTCGCATTGTGTATGTTATGTTTGTTTATATTGGCATAGAGAAGTCTTCAGCACTACTAAATTTCCTGGTATGTTGTTTTTGCGCCAGCGTGTGCCACCCCGAGGCAGATTTTACAAAGTCACAGCAGTAATGTCACCGCCTGTTGATTTTTTTGGGATGTTACTGCTAGCCTTAGCTTGTGCCAACCTAAAGCAACTTTTGCCAAATAAAGCCTCACACATCTTTTCAGACCTCTCTGCTTCTATCTTTTGCATTTTAACAGATTTATTCTTTGTGTGTGGCCTGTATGTGTAGGTTTGCATGTTTTTAGTGCAATGTGATAATAAAGAAAGTTGTGCACTTGTGTTAAGTTTACTCTTCACCACTGTGGGGGAGCCTTCTCAAAGCCCCAGAGTGGCAGCTGCCGACATGTCACTCTTAGAATTAGCTACTTTGAGCCAAAAAATTAAATCCCTCAGCAAACCAGCAGTAGCTCTTAAGCTTTTAGGAGACTCTTTCTGAAACTCTTCCTATCAGCTTTAAGCGCTTTCATGTTTATTTTGTATTAATTCCTTCATGGTATGCAGTGTGGTAGTGCCCAGTGCGATGGAAAAGGCAGTTGGAAGGGAAGCAGTTGCCAGTAATTTATAACAGAGTCGTAGCACATGTGTCAGGGAGTCGCAGCACAAGCTGGTCTTGGTCAATAAAAGGTTTCTGGATGGCACGTAGGCTGTCATTGTAGCACCCTTGCACAGGTTTATTGACAGTGAGATATTGCACACTTTCCCGTAACATTTACAGAATAATGTAAACGACTTAATTTTAGCGGGCACAAATTTTTGCGAATCGGGCCAAAGCTGAAAATTTGAAATTATTCGCGGGTTCTAATTTTTGCGAATCGAGTGTAGCTTCCGTAGTGTTCACATATTGCCCGAATCGTTCGCAGGACATATTTTTCGCATTTGTAGGCAACTCGCGAAATTAGGTCCCCACGAAAATTTAGTCGTTTACAGTATGTAGAAGTCATTTGGGACCCTATAAGCCTAAAAGATTATGCATCAGTCGAATGCAAGCAACATAAAATTGAAAATAAAAGGTTGTTTCAAGACACTACGTGACAAAATACCAAAAGCCTTAAACTCGATAACCAACTCTTGGAACGCGACAAGTCATCTCAGCCACTGAAGTGCCGAGTACACGCTCCTCGCGTTTCGGCACTTTATCGCGTGGTTAGGTGGCATGCTTACGAACACAGAACTGGGAGCACATGCTCAAAGTACACATTCTTTACTCTAGTAAGCAGAGGCCAAAGAAAGGCTTCATCATGCAAACTCCGATGGTGTTATCAATGTCTGCATGAATAACCAAGTCACACTTTCTCACATCTAAGAGTGCCATTCCGAGTTGCACCTGGGCATAATGGGTGTGGCGTTTTTTGAGCGCGTATGTGCCTGCTTCATTTTTCTCAAGGAAGTCGCAGGGTAGCCAGAAGGGCTTTCGCTGTCATTGTCTGTCCCTTTGACGGACATTTGATCTCCAGCAACTTTGCTGGTCTTCCATCCTCAAACACTACACCATCAGGGAAGCAGCCCAGCCAGGGGTTCTTTGGACAAACAATGAGACCGCAAGTAAAAACGTCTCCGTTCTTTGTCGTCAAATACTTCTCCCGTGCTTTTGGCTCACAGCGTTGACCATATGCAGTTGCAGCATTCCCACGGAACGTAAGGCTGCATTGTGAAACGGACCTTCCTCTCCCAGTCGGCTTGCTTGTAGGTGAACAGTGAATAGCAGGTTGTTCCTGCAAAAAGACACACCCAACAGAATGTCTGTGGTTTTATTTGTAAAGAACACGGTAAATAACAAAGCAAACTTACTTTCCCTCTAATGAAAACGTCCTCCCTGAATAAACTGATCAGCATTTTGGTCGGAGCCAAAAGATTAAGAAACAGTAAATTCGCAGAACAAGGCATGGCAGAAGCAAGCCTTAAATAGAAACGAACACACAATACCCAAAAGTTGTATGTTTGTTGCTAGTTGAAAGATGTGCTTGTGTCGTCCCTTGTTTTGTGTGTTGATTCTTCATTCCCTGAATATACTTCCATCTGGCTTATCTGATAACTCTAAATAAATAAACTAAAACAAGAGGACTAACTTGCCTTTCCAAACAAAACCCAGACGAATGATCTCTTGTTACATAGTAGGCTTAGTTACTTATAATGTATTCATTAAATGTCAGAAAGCACAAGCCAGTTTGGTCAACACCACCTAGATAAGAAAGCCTGTGCACAGGATTTACCATGTCACATTGTGAGATCTATTGCCGGGCCCAGATTGGACATGGCGGCCAAGTCCGCGTTCGTCTAGAATTCGTGCTTGGTTGGTGACGCACTCTCGTGTCCTATCTGTGCACCGCGATAGACCTCACTACGTGACTGAGAAAATACCGTGGGGGAACCTTGCTATCTGCGTGGCGTTGGTTTGGTACACTGGTTAGAAATGGGTAGGATACTTAGTCGAATCCTTTCTTGCAGTCCTGCTCATGCACTTGTATTGGCTCCGCGGATAATAGGGTACGACACTAATTAACAAAAATAAAATCTAACTACAATGAATGACCTGTACATCAATGTTACGCCTGGTTTCTTTTTTCATCAAACTAAAGAGTGGTAATGAAAGGTGCCACAAGTGAACTAGCATTGAGGCGCACATTTGGGCAAGCAATATGCACAACACTGCTTTTGATTATGTGAATCTACGTGAAATTAAAACCAAGTATATACAGATGTTTGAAAGTGAGCTAAACCCACCACGACAGATAGTAACTGGGAGGACTACTGTTGAAATGAAATGTTTATATTAACATTTCATGTAGTTTGTGTAAGGTTTGTGGGCACCCTGGCGGCTCCCCAGCTCAGCTCAGGTGGCAAACTTTCCCGCATGGCGGTGGAATCAAGCCGGCCACGCGCATATCGCGACTGCCTGAGTCCAGGCAGTCGCTGCCTGGACTCAGGCATTGCTGGTAACAATGTTAATCATCTTGTTCATGTCCAATTAAATGTAGTTTCTTGTTGTTGAAACTGCTGGCTCCGTGTTATTCCTCCGGGTCGGGTATGCAGCCAGCGAGGCAAACCGACCACAATGGCACCCAAGCGTGCTGTGCTACCCACTCGCAGGAATTTTACGGGGCTTGGTTTCTTCTTTCGATAAGCCTTGTTGCCACTCCCCGTGTTTTCTACCGTCGTTCTGTGCTTCCGGCACATCCGCGTTTGTTGTAATGGCGTGTTTCTGACTGTGTTTTTGTGACCGCGGCAATCGTTTTGCGCGCTTCTGTTGGTTTCTGGGAGGCGTTTCCTTTTTTTTACGCTTGTGCTGCGCTTCTGTTGGTTTTTGGGGGGCGTTTCTTTTTTTTTTTTGTGCTTGCAAGCATGCTCACACGGGAGCAGGAAGCCGCGATGGCCGCAGCGGCACAAATGAACCTGCTAACGAAGGCCACGGAGATGTGGGACTCAGTGATGCAGCGCCTGGCCCACACTCCTAGCCAGCAGGAGACCCCACCGCAAGAGCCCCGACCACACTTGACTGTTCCAGTCTCCACGGGGTACGACGACAACTGACTTCTTGGGCGAGTTGCAGACGTACCACTTTGCCTCTGGTGCCTCGGAAGCCTTCATCGTAGACCGCATTGTCCCACTGGCGTCGCAAACCAGCGCCAGCTGCTGGTTGGGGTCGCAAGCCCTCTTCACCAGCCTGGCGGACTTCCAGACAAGGCTTCGAGAAGAGTTCCTGCCTGCAGGCTATGCGACGCAGATTCTCCGAGAGCTCAAGGCAAGGACGCAGCACCCGGACGAAAGTCTGGTCCAGTACGTTCAGGTAATGCAAGAGGGCGGACTTGAAGTCACCGGAGTTGGACAGAGTAGCGCAGGTCAGAAGACTAACACCCAAGCTACCACGTCTACCTCATGAACCGCACCTTTGAGACACTTGAAGAACTAGCCCGGGGTGCCTGCCTCATCGAGGAAGTTCTTCATGCCGAGCGGAACTACGTGCCGCCGCCACTAGCAAAGCACGCGCTTGAACCTGCATGCGCAAGGCGGGGCCCCGAGGCCTCCACGCAAGTGGACTGTCCGAACGAGACCTCCTTTCCCCACCACGTCAACCAGGAGAGTTGGCGTGGCATGCATGGCGTTCTCCCGTGCGGGATAAGCGGATGTTCGCCTAACTCTCATCAAGAGGTGCCCGGAGGTCACAGCGGGGCCCGTGAGGGTCTCGGGCGGGGGTCGCCACGACAGGTGGGAGGTCTTTGGCCGTGCCCTATCGTAAGCTGGGGCCCAACGGAAATCACCACCCAAGCTAACCCTCTTCATCAGTCTGCTCCTGCAAATGCTGGTGAAAACTGGCACGCTGCGGTCGCAATCACGCAGCCATGCAGCATTAACCCCCGCCGCAATGGAACAAGCCCTCCCCGCAATAGCTGGTCGCAAGCCTGGTGGAGGCCCTCCCATAGTGGTTCTTTACCCGATCACTGGAGGCGGTCCGACGGGCACCTGGGTGCGGGTGGCCTAAGCAAGTAACTGTCGTCGGACTGCCCCTACGAGTGCGAGCAGCCCGGCCATCACCGAAACCAGTGTCCAAGACTTCTGGACACTACAAACAAGAGGTGGCACGAGATGGCAGCAAGGAGCCGGAACCAGAACAACCAGGGAAACTAAAGTCGGTTACAAGTCAAGAAGGTAGGAGAAGCTCCACCCACAAGCGTGCTGCGCCCGTTTCAAATCTCTCCGCAGTCGAAAGAAGAGTTCACTGGAGACACTCCTTGTTCCGCTTCAATGGATTCCAACTTGTCTCCGATCCCACTTTTTAAGAAAGCGACCTTTGTATTCACTGGAGGGCGAACCGAGCCCCTGAAAGCAGCCTTTGTATCCATCGGGGGGGAAGCTAATCCCCGAAAGTCGTATTTGTTTCCGTCGGTGGGGGAGAACTCTAATCTCCCTCTCGTGCCTTCCACAATGCTAAGTAAAAGACGAAAGATAAAGCAAATATGTGCAGAAAGGCAAGACCCTCCTCGCGCGTTGGCCGCGACGTCACGGAAACGGTGGGACGCTATTGGATGCGGAGGTGGCGGAGGGATATCTGATTCCCTTTGAGGGGCATTTGCCGCTACCTTCTTAACCTGTAACTGACTATACTACGGCCGGCGACGCTGAAACCAGACAGCCACTCGCCAACGGCCGTTACAGTCCCTGGGAGCAGTGAGGCCGCGGCACAGATGCCATCGGTATGTCGAATCCAGACCGAGCCTAACATCATTGAACCGCGCATGACGATTTCACTGCTCGATTTTCCCATTGTCGCACTTTTAGATTCTTGGGCCGCTATCTCGCTTAT